GAGAGAGAGAGAGAGAGAGAGAGAGAGAGAGAGAGAGAGAGAGAGAGAGAGAGAGAGAGAGAGAGAGAGAGAGAGAGAGAGAGAGAGATTGCATCGATCAGTTGCCTCCAGCATGAATGAATCAGCTGTTATATTTGTTTTTGCGAGCGAAGCCGCCACAGGTCATCTAGTTATATGTAGTAATATGTTACGATCCTGGCCAATTTCGAAGTATACATTCATCAAAAAGTACAATGCCGTCCAATTGCAAAAAGAAATGAATGAACTTGAGAGGAGAGAGAGGGAAAGAAGAAGAAGAAGAAGTAAGAAAGAAGAAGAAGATGATGTACTCCAGCATAGACCAAAGATAATGCTCTTCCTCTTCGCCACCAATCTCCTCCTCCTTATCTCCTCCTCCCTTATTCAAACAAGAAATAACAACAATAATGTTGAATGGCTGAACCAGAATCAATGTCCGAATCCCACTTCTACTGCAGGCACAACATGAGGTCCACCATAGCCATGGCCACCCTTCTCCTTCCTCTCACATGTAGGCCGAGGCTATGGCGGACTACTGAGAGCTCAACCCTTCTGTCCAAAGGGCAACCCAAAGCAGCTATGTCGCTGCCTCCCTGTGCAAAGGACAACGCAAAGCAGCTATGCCGCTGGTCACTAGGCCTCCATCCCTGTCTCTGCCCCGAGCTTCCTTGGTGCGGCACTACCCCAACGGGGGCCTTCCAGATGCAGCGCCTAACAAGGCGATGAAGATGGTGTCCACCATAGCCAGGTAGGTACCTCATCACTCTCCTCCTTGGTCCCCTTCTCCCTCCTCCTCCTACCGGTAGAGCTCCACCATAGCCAAGGTGGAAGCTCCCGGCTTCTTCCTCCCAGCAGCGCTGTAGTACCCAGCGCTACTCCAGGCAGCGCTCCAGCAGCATGTCGCCAAACTTGCACACTGAAGAGTGAGGCCGGGCTCTTCCCTCGGCCTCCTGATATAGCGGCCTACTTGCCTCCTGGGCGGTGATTTCCAGGCCGCTTGGCCTTCCAAGCAACCGGTACCTCCTCCCTTTCGGAGGGAAACATCATTGCAGACTCTGATATTGCCAGTACAGGCCCTAGACTCAGACTGGATGGACTGGTACCGGCCTAGACCTAGCCTACCGCTACTGGGCCTCTAAAAATGCCAACTTTGTCTTCTTCTGCTCGGCCTCGAGTACTCGGCACATCTACTGCTACTGGGTGCGGTACCGGCCTACCTGCTACTCGGTGCTCCAAGTACCGCGGGCCCCTGGCTCCGCTACTTGAGTGTTTTCCCTGCTGCAACCCTCAATATCACAGCCACAGGTAAGTACCGGTCCTACGGCCCTCCCAAACAAGCAAGTACCCTTGTGGGTCACACACACACTCATGCCGACAAGCACTCAGACAGGCACGCAGGTCAACCAGCACGCACACATACAGACTTAGAAACTCAGCCGAATGTGGGAATCTCAGCAAGGCATCCATGCCATCGGCAGAACTTCAGAAATCAGTAGTGTTCTCAGTCTGTGTTATGGTGGGTCATTACAAATATATATTTTTATAATAATATGAAAACTTGAAAAGGTATTCTATAAGGTGATTCTTTAGGAATTGGTCAACATTCATGAATGAAAACATATGCCTCAATCACAACATTTATATGGTGTGTTACGATCCTGGCCAATTTTGAAGTCCACAATCATCAGAAAGTACACTGTTGTCCAATTGGGAAAAGAAATGAATGAACTTGAGCCCAATGCCGTCCAATTGCAAAAGAAATGAAAGAACTTGAGAGGAGAGAGAGGGAAAGAAGAAGAAGAAGAAGTAAGAAAGAAGAAAGAGATGATGTACTCCAGCATAGACGAAAGACAAAGCTCTTCTTCTTCGCTCAACAACCTCCTCCTCTTTATCTCCTCCTCTCTTATTCAAACAATAWATAAACAWTAATAATGTTGAACAGCTGARCCAGAATCAATGTCCGAATCCCACTTCTACTGCAGGCACAAGATGAGGTCCACCATAGCCATAGCAGCCCTTCTTCTTCCTCCASATACAGGCCGAGGCTAYGGCGGACAACTGAGGCTTCAGCCTCCGGTACCAAWGACAACCCCCAAGCAGMTATACCGCTGCCCACTTCGAGGTCATCACCCAGCAGCTATGCCGCTGCCCACTCAACCGCCATGCCTGACTCTGTCCRAGCTTCCTTGATGCGGCACCACCCCCACTGGGGCCTTCCTGATGCAGCGCCTAGCAAGGAGATGAAGATGGTGTCTACCATAGCCAGTAAGTACCTCGCCACTCTCCCCCTTGGTCCCCTTCTCCCTCCTCCTCCTACCGGATGAGCTCCACCATAGCCAAGGTGGAAGCTCCCGGCTTCTTCCTCCCAGCAGCGTTGTAGTGCCCAGCGCTACTCCAGCCAGCGCTCCAGCAGCATGACGCCCAACTCGCACACTGAAGAATGAGGCGGAGCTCTTGCCTCCGCCTCTAGATATAGCGGCCTGCTTGCCTCTTGGGCGGTGACTTCCAGGCCGCTCGGCCTCTCCAAGCAACCGGTACTTCCTCCGTTTCGGAGGGAAACATCATTGCAGACCCTGATATTACCCGTACAGGCTCTAGACTCAGACTGGTTGGACTGGTACCGGCCTAGACCTACCCWACCGCTACTGGACTCTAAAAATGCCAACTTTGTCTTTTTCTGCTCGGCCTCCAGTACCCCCTCACGCCAACTGCAGTGGGGTGCAGTATCGGCCTGCCGGCCTACTTGAGTGTTTTTCCGCTACCCCAAGGGCCTCAGGGCCGCTAGCTTCGCCACTTGAGTGTTTTTCCCTGCTACAACCCTCAATGCCACGGCCACAGGTAAGTACCGGCCCTACGGGCCTACCAAACAAGCAAGTACCCTTGCGGGTCCCACACACACTCATACCAACAAGCACTCAGGCAGGCATGCAGGTCACAAGCACGCACACACAGACAGACTTAGAAACACAGCAGAATGCGGGAATCTCAGCAAGGCATCCATTCCATCGGCAGAACTTCAGAAATCAGCGGTGTTCTCAGTCTGTGTTTTGACGGGTCATTACACTACCCCCCCTTCAAGAGCGAGGTCCCTTCGAGCGAGTAACTCAATCAGAGTCCTTGCATAATGCACCATAGGCGTAGATAGCAAAGAGAGATCGGTTGTGTTCCGTAGGAGTCAGGGTAGCAGTGAATTTTGGTTGTTGTTCAGAACTGATCAATCGTTCATAAGCGTTAACAACGCGAGGTGCACTCTGCAGTAGGTCTCTCTTAGCGATCCAGTAGAAATCATCGAATGGGTTGTACAGAAAATGGACTTTATATTGTCTGTTTCTTCCCTTCCCATTGTGTTCCAGAATCCTATCAACCTCATGACCGCCATTGATTGCGCGGGGAATCATCGATTCTCGATACTTGAAAGTTTCGGGTGATTCATACGGAAACAACTTTGATGCGTGAAAGACTGGATATGTGCGTAGATGAGCAGGCACATTGATCGTATACGAAGGGCCAAAGGAATCACTTTCTACCTGGTTCAACACCTTCCATGGACCGTAATACTGAGGAAGAAGCTTTCGTGATACACCTTCTTCTTCAGAAAACTCAGACATTTTGACCCAGACATAACTTCCCACTGTGAAAGGCGCAGGCTGGCGCTTCTTGTTTGCATGTTTGATCATGGCACTGCGTCGCCTTTCCATAGCTGCGACAACAACCTTGAGCAACCAGTCATACTTAGCGCTGTAGCCTGGCTGGCCAGGTGTCAAACCAGGAGGCTGTTCAGGGAACAGGTAGGATAGAGGATTGCGAATTTTCCATCCAGGATGCAGCCGGTTAGGCGTAATCCCGGTGGAGGAGTGGATGGAGCTGTTGTACAACCCTTGCACGATCGGCAATTCCTCATCCCAAGAGTTCTGATCGGGCACAATTAAGGCTCGGAGAAGTTGGATCACAGTCTGGTTGATCTCCTCGGCCAGTCCATTGGCTTCGGGATGTCGACCAGATGTCATCGTGAGTTTCATGTGATAAACCTGGGAGGTGAAGTCCTTCCATTCTGCGCTTATGAACCTAGTGTCCCGGTCACTCACAAGAGTTTCGGGGGCCCACACTGCAGAATGTATCTTTTGTGAAACTCTTTGATCACAAGGTCAGTTGGGGCGTGAGGTGGTAGTGGGATTAGATTCAAAAACTTCGAAAAACGATTGACAATCACCATAACTTGGGAATAACCGTTTCTGCTCTTCTTCCCCATGTCCGTGAAGTCAATAGAAACAGACTCCCCCGGACCGTCAGGAGTAGGAAGAGGGTGCAGCAGCCCATAAGGCTTCTGCCGAGACGGTTTAATGCGTTGACAAACTTCACACTCAGCCACAAATCTTTGCGCCATTCTTTTCATACCAGGCCACACAAACTTTTCCAACAGATTCCCGTATGTCTTCTCAACACCGAAATGCCCACTCCGGCCATGAGCCAAATCCAAGAAATGAGTGATGATTGACTCATGGTTGGGTACACACAACCGGTCATGCTTACCGTAGAGTCGGAAGAGAAGGCCCTTACATTAATGGAAATCAGGTTGACTGCTAGGGTCAACCCGAATCTGCTCAAGGATGGGACTGAGTTCCGGGTCCTTGGCAGTATGCTCGATGAGTTCCTCCTTCAGATCTTTACGCAGGTCGTAGGAACCCACAAGGCAMGTCATATACTCGGGGTGGCGAGACAAAGCATCCGCAACACGATTATAGCAGCCTTTCTTGTGTTTGAGTTCAAAATCATACACATCAATCTCATGCAGCCATCGGGTCAATGTGGTTGATGGGTTAACCTGTGGTTGATGGGTTAACCTGTGTCTGAATCCATTTCAAAGTCTCATGGTCTGAGAACACTTTGAAATGGCGACCCAAGAGGTAGTGTTTCCAGTGGTCTAGTGCCTCTCTCAAGGCATAAAGCTCTCTCATGTAGGTGGAAGCGGCTACCTTGTGACTGGGCATGCGTTTRCTGTAGAATTCAAGYGGAYGTAAGCCATCACCGTCATCTTGCTGCAGCACCGCACCAATCCCATACAAACTTGCATCCGTAGTCACTACGAATGTAAGCTTGGGATCTGCAATGCGGAGYACCGGATGACTCACCAAGGCCTCTTTAAGTGCTTCAAAGGCTGTCGTGCATTCTTCATTCCATGTGTAGGACACATTCTTGCTTGTTAGCTTAGACAACGGACCGGCGGTGATAGATAATTTAGGCACGAACTTACGGTAGTACGACGCAAGACCAAGAAAGGAAGGCAACTCGCGGACATTCGCAGGTTGAGGCCACTTTCGGATGACCTCAACTTTGTTGTCTCGGGGTCTAGGCCTGCAGCAGACAACCGATGTCCAAGGTAGATGACGCTGTCCCTCCCAAACTCAGATTTCTCCAAGTTGAGATGGAGCGGCGCGTCCTTGAGGATCTGCATCACTTCCTCGAGGTGCCTCATGTGCTCCTCCATCGATTTGCTGAAGATTAGTACGTCATCCTGATATACAACAACAAATCGATTGATCTGAGTGCGAAATACTTTATCCATGAGACTTTGAAAGGTGGTTGGCACATTCGTGAGACCGAAGGGCATGACTGTAAACTCGTACAGCCCATCGCGAGTTTTGAACGCGGTCTTGTGCTGGTCTGCAGGTTCGACTTCAATCTGGTGGTAGTCAGACTTGAAATCGATCTTGATGAAGACCTTGCATCCACCTGCAGCATCGAGCAGGTCATCGATAAGTGGCAAAGGATACGTATTCTTTCTTGTGATTCTATTTAATCCGCGGTAGTCAATACACATCCGCAGTTTGCCTCCTTTCTTAGGGACAAACAACACTGGTGCACCAAATTCAGACTCACTGGATTTGATCCATCCCTTCCCAATTTGTGTCGGACCGGTCGCACGGGAACTCCATGCGGTTCGACCAAGACCTCAGGGAACCGGTTGAGAAGGTTGTGGATTTCCGATGGGATTTCCGGAGGAGGATCATCACTCTCAGGAGCCAGCATACCAGATTGCATAGGTGCAGCTGTTACGATCCTGGCCATTTCCCAAGTGCAAATTCACAATGAAAGACAATGCCACCCAATTGCAAAAGAAATGAAAGCACTTGCAAGAGATAAAGACCAGAGGAGAGGTAAAGAAGAAGAAGAAGAAGAAGAAGAAGAAGAAGAAGAAGAAGTACACCAGCAAGACCAATGACAATTCCCCCTTCTCTCTCCACCTTCCTCCTTCCTCCTACTCTTCACCAATCTTATTCTTCTCTCAACAATAATAATAACAATGAATGGATGAACCAGAATCAATGTCCGAAGTTCCCCCCTTACTACTGACTCAACTCACAACCCAACAACAACAACAACAACAAGTCCACCATGGCTATGTCTTCCTTCCTTCAACCTCCTCTCTCAAGCATAGGTCATGGCGGACTACTGGAAGGCAGCTATGATGCTGCCCTGATGCCCGAAAGACAACCCAAAGCAGCAATGTCGCTGCTTGACTCGGTCTGCTATGCCTGACCCTGCCTCTAACTGCCCTGGTGCAGCGTTACCCCAACCGGGGCCTTCCAGATGCAGCGCCCAACAAGGTGATGAAGACGGTGTCCACCATAGCCAGGTAAGTGCCCTAC